CCCCAAAACCCCAAAACCCCAAAACCCCAAAACCCCGAGGTATAAGAGAGGTGTTGAGTTTGTAATAAGTTTTAGTACGGTGAGGTATTGTGAGGGTTTATAGGAGATATTTATATTCTTCCTTCTTTTCTTCATAAATATGACTTCTTGAGGTTTGTGGATTGTATGTAGTTGATTCAATCTGCAGTGACTTTTGTCTGGCTCTTGTCAATATTCTGTAATCTATCTTGGAGATATAGACTTACTTTCAAACTTTGATAAATCATTACTTCCCATAGCATTGATATCAGATCTCTGGAATAAATTCTAAATTTGAATTAATATTAAACTATTTAAAATATCTGAAAGCTCTCCAACCCTAAGAGTAAAGTTAAGTAGTTGGAATTTTTACAGGGACACTTTGAAAATCCTTGAAATGCATCAAAAATGTAATATTTTCGCAAAATCCTTGAGAGCTTACTCTAGACGAACTTTGAATTAACTCATTTCCTAAATTCTCTTCATCCTGCTCTTCTTTGGGACTATAAATTAGCAAGTGGAGAATACCTTGGCTCAGCTTTGGGCTTCAGTGAATAATCTAGACTCAGAGTTAGGATTTAAGCAGAAGATTTGGAGTGGGAGCAGGAGATTTAGAGAAACTTACTTCTTAATTTTTTCTTGAGTCTTTTTTTGCTCCTTTTCTTTTTGATCCTATATTTTCTTGGCTTTGCTTCACTTTGGGATTTTTGAGGAGATTCAATGGGGTTGGAGTAGATTCTGGATATTTTCTCTGTCCGGTGGTCTTGTAGTGGAAAATCTTCCTCAATATCCTTCTTGCATGAAATTGTTGCAATCAGCAGGTATAGCTAGAATATAATAAAACAGAGTTTGGATCAAATTCTTAAATTTTCTAAAAGTCATGAAACATAAAGCTTGAGAAATATATTAATATTTTGATCATTCCTAATACATACTTATCAAAATCAGAAAAGTTTACAATCCCAAGGTCCATGTACTGTTTATAACCAAGCGATTCATTTAAATGTTCTGGGATTACTAGCTCATATAGAGCTTATTTAAAAGTATCTAGTTTAGAAGAACTCTCGAATAAAACAGAGACGGGGAAGTTAAATTTGTCTGAAATTATTTACCAAAACTAATGCTACTTATCTAGGATGACTTACATATTTTAAAACTTTAGCCTTGTTTTGGAATCATTTGATGCACAATATGGTCCATTCTAGAAGGAACTTCGCATTTGCTACAGAAATGACTAATATGATAAATGAATTGAGGTTACTAATATGCTCATCACGTTCAAAAACAAGGATACCGTTTAGGGTAATAATACTTGCTGTAGTGGATAAGAGGGCTATATTATTGTTCTCAACATCTCAATAAGGTTGAAGCCACCGTTCAAGTCTTTCACTTATGATCATCACTACCAGAGAAACCCCAATTTTGTAGTTATTGGGAAACAAGAACGAAATTCCAATTAAAATTTTTCTCAGAGTATTGAAGAACTCCCAGTAAAATTTTTCATCTTTGAACCCTTGGTACAGAATCAAGAAGTAGCCAAGAATTCTGTGATTTCTTGATCTATTGGCCTTATACAGAAGAACGAGGCCGGTTATTGGAATTGCCACCACCCAAATTACAATAATGGGAAGAGCGATCAATATTCACCATTTTATATGAGTTAAGGAATAACATTCAATATCTGTGTCGATTTGCACCGCACGTGTAGTATCATTAATCCTGACTCATCTGAATGCATTGATGCTAGACTCAGCAAGCTTTGGATGGAAGATAAATAAAATACTGATGAAGGATATAACAAGGTTTCTTTTAATATCTTTGACCCAACCTGTATTTATCATTATGATGATCCCCCATATCAAAGCAACTGCACAGAACAAGACAATGGGGAGCAGAAGCATTAAAAAGAGCTTCAAAAAAGCATTCGAGTCAAAAGGTCCTGTAATTACATAATCAGAGATAAAACAGTCAAACGACAATAAATTCCCTGAAGGATCTCCTACCCTATTGAGAGGCAACAAAATACCTACGAGAGAAGAAGGATGTTTAGTCGTCATTGACATTGTCATTGTGATTATATGTAAATAATTCATAAGAATCCTCAATAAAATAGAAAACTGGCTGACAGTTGTTCTCCTCACATTTGCTACAATAATGACCATGAGGAAAATAAATACAATGATTACTAAGGTAATTACTTTGACAGCATTCATGATAGGCTCAGGACATGCTTGACATTCAAATTCCCCTATCTTGTGGTACTTCTTTTCATCAGTAATTTGACACTTAGATCAAAGCTTGCCAGTGTATCCAAGAGTGCATTCAACAGGGTATTCATTTTCTGGATGGTATCCTCCTTGACAGGCTTCTTTTCTCAATCACTCAACTATTTTTGTAGAATTTCCAGACATTCTCCAGTAGCCTTTAGCAACTTGCATTTGTTGTCTTCCTAATCAGTTAGCATTGCTTTCTCACTGGTGACATTGGGGTGAATTCCAAGTGAATGAATAAGTGCCAGCAGGGCACTCGTATCATTGGTTGTTAATAACTCGCTCTCCAGGCTTGCAGTAACTGAAGTTGATGATAATTTCAGGTTGAACAACAGAGGTGCCAAATATATGCTTAATTTTCATTTTGTCAATAGATTTAGAAGAGATTACATATTTTACATTAGAAGTTCCAGGCTCAGCAACTGGTATCAAGTTCGAAAACTCGGTGATTCCTTTAACTATCCTTTCAACATTGATACCTTTGATTGAAGATTTTGGAGAGCCGGAGTTAATATTTATATGACTTGAGTTATCTAATATCATTACTTGATGGTCTCCATCAAGTAATGATAATCTTATGTTCTGGTTTATTCCAAGTCCTGAGGAAACTTGATTGATAAAGATTTGATTTGATGAATTATCATCCAGAAATCCTACCCTCACAGGGTAACTAGCATAATCTCTGCCATATTGCGCTGTGTTGTTAGAAAATAGTGTCTGATTGTCAATTACAGGAGGTCTGTAATTATAATAAATACCTCCACCTTTTTCAGTGGCAGAGTTCATCAGAAATACTCATTTCTGGAATTCTACTTGACAATTAATGCCATTTGATCAAAGAGAAGCAATTGCTGCTCCCGATATTGCCTTATTCTTAGTGAATGTTGTGTTATAAAAGCTTGCATTACTATTACTGATCAAAACAGCTCCAGCATGAAATAACTCTTCATTTCCTAAATATGAAAAACTTGAATTTGCCACCAATTTTGCATTGCTATTAATGAGTTCTACCGCTCTATAGTAGTGAGAGACATGTAAATTCTCGATCAGTTCAACTTTGGAGTTTGTAATCTCGAACAAAGTTTTGTGGTAGTTAGATAGAGACATATTGGAGATCTTCACATTTCGACACTTGTGTATATTAAACACTTTGGTATCTTGAACAAAGCAGTTATCAACCTTAATATCTGATAAATGAGAGTCTGGAGATCTATTGATATCCATCAAAACACTCGGGCCAATAATGCCATAAAACGTAAGATTGAGAGCATACACTTCAGAGGAACAAGATTTCAATAGCAATGAGTTAGATCCAGAATATGATACGTTCATAAGGTGCACTGTAGATTGAGAAGCAGCGAGGATCATCCCACTTTGACTTGTATTCACTGTTTTCAGTAAGGTATTTTCTAATATCAGATTTGACGAGGTAGCTAAAATATACATTTTTAGGAACTCTATTGAACTTAGGGTGGCACCTGAAATCTTGGCATTCGACAGAAAACAGTTCATTAAATATGATTGTCTGCTGATATGACTCCCTTCATTGATCTCAATAGAGCCACTGATCACACTGATTGCATACCTAGACACCTCTGTTTTTGTAATTGCTTCTTTGTCCTCATCTAAAGTGATAAAGTCATAAATTACTCAGATATTGTTTGAGTTCTTGGCTTATCATGCAAAGCTTGTTACAGTTACCGTACACTTCCTGGAGCACTTCTTCAGTTGAAACACAGTAGTTCTCATATATCACTGTTTTTGTAAACTCTGATGCATCCACTGTTTCAAGAACTGATCCAATAGGTGCCTGGATCGCATAGTTGTTATGCACTGTTGAATTCGTCAATGTTATCTTGCTACCAGAAGTGACTTCAAACACTCCATGCTTCAGTGCAAAATTGGAGTTTATACTTCACTCATTACATTTTAGAGCAGATTTTGATTCAACTTTGAAAATAGATGATGAGAGTGCTGAATTTTCCATAAAAGTTCACCTGGTAAATTCTCCAAATGAATTCTCTGATAAATAGATAAATCCAAAGCTTTCAATAATGGATGTTATTTCAGTGAAGTTGCTTGATACTACTTCTAAATGCGCACTAGTAGAGAAATCAAAGAATGGTTTCATAGTATTTGTGATTTTACTGAATGCACAATTCTCTATTTTCAGGCTCGCTTTCAAAGCCGAGTTTTTGTTACTTTTAGCTCTCATTACAATACTTCCCGATGTAATATTCTGAAATATAGAGTCCTTGAGAATGACAGGCCTTTCTAGAAAATGGTTGAATTCCATTATTTGCCCGCTAACTGGAAAACTAACATTGATGATCTTCAGATTGCTATAAATCAGCTGTACATCTCCAGTAGCTTCAAATCCTTTTGTTGAGATAATTGATCTGAATCCTTTAAAATTATTATTGGTTGACGATCAATTAGAGCAAAATTTTAATCAAGTAACGGATTAACTATGCCTGAATAATATGAGTTTAAAAACATATTTACACTTAATTATGCTCATAAAGTATTTATACCATGACACTCTCAAACTGTTGATAGTCTTGGTAAACAACATCCGTTAATTGGAAGTGCAAAATCATGGAGAAAACTTACTTGGAGTACTATCGCTAATAGTAACTTCATCTATGTGTACAATTCCTTGATTAATTACAGAGTTTACCTCTACTAGAGCCAAATCTGCATTTTGGAAAGTGATTATCTTCAAAGTCACTGGCTCTGAACCAAGACTCAACTGTGAAATCTCTAGAAATTTATTTGGTGGGTTCTTTATCTGAGCTGATATAGTGATGCTATTTAACCTTTGGTCAGCCATCTCAAAAGCTGAAATATCCCTTAGTTTGAATAAAGCTATTCCTTTGTCCATCAGAATGTCTTCATAGAACCCTGCTGAGATGCTTAGCTTTAGAGGTCTTCCAATAAGTTCAAAGAAAGGAAGGCCGAACAGATTGCAAGACTTTAACCTCAACCTTTTAATACTAACAATCGTGGATGGAAGTACACTTATGGAAATATCATTGTTACTCCGGAACTGGGGCGTTGTATAATCTTGCACAGACAGTCCATCCAAAGTTGTGTTCAAGCAATTGGTGATTTTCAGAAGTCTAGTGCATTTGTGAATCTCAGTAAAGGATAGGTTCGTCAGAGTTAGCACCCCAAGATCCCATACATCCAAAAGCCTGTCAATGAAAGCACTGTTGTGGACTGTCAAATTTGTAAGATGAAACTCATCCATGGGACTAGCAAAAACAGCAAACAAGGGAGGGCTAATACTGTTGTTGAAATTTAAATACTCAAAATTGCTCAGATTTCGCAAAACGGGTCGATAATGAGCGAAAGTAGATAGAAAAGACGTCAGCACAAATTTATTCCCAGGATCCTGAAGGCTTTTCATCTGGCTTTTAAGCCCATGGAACTCTATTGTCTGAGGAATATCATCGACTGGTATACAAGTTTCACTTAGTAACACGGCTATTGCTGAGATAAGGTCTGTTGAAACTCCATGAAACACGCCAATATCAATGTTCTCAAGAATGAAATTGGAAGACCCACTCATCCTGATAAACCTACTACTTGTGACTGTAGTCTTCTCTTTAGAAAGTACGAATGAGAGGTTCTTTGCGAAGAAATGCCCATGTGTGAAGGCTTCAGGATAGTTACAGATGGCAGGGATATCCGATACAAAGCTACCCAAGCTATACCCTTCCACAAGAATGTTCTCCAAATGAGCGTTGAAAGGGTCTGATGTGGTTACCACATCTCCAGTCACATTGAACGAGCAATCAGCTAAACTTTAGTCTATGGCTTACTAATTTTGAGCAAACGGTTTTGAAAGTAGATCGGCGTGATCAACTTGTTAGGCTCATTGTAGTCAATTTCTTCGCGGTAAAAATTAATTTCTTTAATTTCTATACTAGAGCGTAATGGTTTTATAGTTGATATTTGTGAAGAAAATGCATAAAGTTCATATTCTGTGAAACCTCCTTCTTCAAGGGCTTTATCAACTAAAGTATCCGTGTGCTTGAGAGCATGAAATAAGGCTCTTTCGGTTATTCCATGCTGCTTGTAGTGTGTTGGGATCAACAATGCCTGATTTCCAGTCTCTATATATTGATATTTTTCTTATGAAAAATCGAAAAGGGTTATTAATAATGTCAGTAATTCATAACATGAACTTACTTTTTAGCAGTCCTCCATGTTGTATGGATTGATAGTTTGGAAGAGAAGATAGTCTTACATGTGACATATTAATAAAAATAAGCTCGTTGTCTGTCAGGTAAGCATCATTGGTATAGATACTGATATTGGAATTCGTGTTTGAGTGAATGTTAATAATTTCAGAACTCAGAGAAGAAAATGAACGATATGGAAAATCTAATGTTCCAAGTTCAATACTCTTAGTGGTGAAAGGGTCTACATAGTAATCTAGGGCTCTTCAAATCGAGCCTAGAAAATATTGAGAGTTTGATAACAAGTGTTTTGGAAATATTCAATCAGACATTTGTATGCATTCTCTCATTTCTAAATCATACACATCACCTTCTTTTCATTGAAATCAAAAATGTTGATATCCTCACTGCAAATCTCAAATTCCACCTCATTCTCTTCAAACCCCTGCAGTGTTATCATAATATTCTCCATCTGGGCACTTCTCACATAATTTCCCCTCTCCTTCACCACCCTGCTCATTCCTCATAAACATGAAACCTTCTCAACTCTCTCATCTATCAGGCCGAGTACATGTCTTTCACGAGCTATGGCAAGGTCTTCAGCCCCCATCATAATAATACCCTTCGTGTCACCCTTCTTTGTACATGGCTATCACCAAAACTAGTATATTTCAGAACACGAAAATCACCTTCATAATTTTTATAATATAATCCTATAATTTCAAAGTCAGGACACCTCAACGGGGTTTTGGGGTTTTGGGGTTTTGGGGTTTTGGGG